TTTTCATATATAAGTTTTTGTCACTTATTCTCTCACGATGTGTCTGCGGTACGTTTACCGGCATAAAACATTAAAATCCAGGGTTCGTTTCCCAGTGGTGTACAGAGTGGAAAATCAAACGTATGGTTTTGATCGGCGTGGTTAATCATGATGTAAAAGTTATGCTTTTGTAAAGACTGCCATTTTTAGTGGTTGTGATTTTCAATACATACAGTAATCACGTACCAATAAAGCAGGATTTAAATTCTACATTTTTCTTGTATTAATAAATTAATGTCTTATCGTTTTATAAAAATACTTCAATGATTCATAGTATATAATTTTCTCTGTGTTTTACGCCCATTTGTTTTAAAAGAATTCAGGATCACTAAAACCCTCCCCTGTCTTTCATCATCCACTGAATTCTAAGTATAAATAATAACAGTGAACATACCATTCGTCACACCTTGTTGGTCTTCTGATCATTGTAACTCTGTTGTTGTTGTCTGTACCTCCCCGAAAAAATTTTCAGTAGAGTTTTTACCATGAGGCTGCTCCACGTGTAGTTTCACGGAAGAATAACATTAAATTGTTGTGTGTAATGCTTGATTCAAGCAAACTATCATAAAATTATGTTTAATTAATCTCCGCTAACTTAAGTGTTGTGATGGTTGTGTCTCGATCTATTCCATATGTAATGTGAACTGCTAAGGATTTTTCATAGTAACATAGGCCATTGTAAAAATACTAATCTTGAAGTCAGATATCCCGATTTCTTTAATAAAAAACAAAGAAACATTATGCTCGTTCATTTGTATAGTGTTGTTACAAACAATAATAGAAAAGTAATATAAATGTATGTTTTTGCATGCAGTGTAAAACAAAATCAACGATTATAATTTATCAACCAAAGTCTACTTATCGCCGATAAAAACATGAATATCAGTATGAATGTACTTTATATAATATGGCAAATGTTGTTATGTTTTGGTTTTTGCTTTTTTATGTGTGTGTGTGTGTGTGTAGGAAGTGTTTGCTTGTTTGTAATGAAGCACAAAGCTACACAATGGGCTATCTGTGCTCTGTCCACTACGGGTATCGAAACCCGGATTCTAGCGTTGTAAGTCCGCAGACATACCGCTGTGCCACTGGGGGGCGTGTAGGAAGTGAACGCTTATACTTGCAGGCACGGATACATAAAAACTCTCCACAAGGGGCTACGACGTCACAATAAAAACGTTTGTAGTACTTAATTTTTTTCTTAACCCTTTCGTTTTTGTTGAATTAATTTTTAGAATACTTATGTTTAACGGAAGAGAGAATATGTTTTTGAAAAATATTTTAAAAAGCGCTTTGAACTCTTTGATGTTAGGTTCTTGTTTCCGTCTTGACTTTCCTAGTTTTAGAGGGGGAAATCTCTGAGGAGGCATTCGCCATAGCTATGCGATTTTGTAGTAGAAAAACAACAACAGTAAAACAGAATTTTATTTATTTATAAACATCTAAAAAATATAATTCGTCAGCTTCTGTCTTTTAACAGTGAGTAGCTTGTGATTTACAATACAATTTGACGTTTAAAAGACGTGTAAACAAAATTATTTCAGAACTAAAACAAATTAAAGATTTCAACTACCGCCACGAATAGCAATAAAAAACGTTATTTGAATTAGTTTATTTTGGGTTAGTACGTAAAATTAAGAACGTTTCGCTTCATTACTGTTTAACTTGCTAGACGTTATAATTATAAGAGAGAGAGAAAAAGAGCGCTCACTGGACTTTCAGCAACATGTCTGTGGATTCTGCTATGAAAGGCTGTTTTGTGTGTACCAAGTGGCCGGAACCCAAGAAGCTAGCTTGTTGAGACTGTAGCTGAAAGTGGGGTATTGAATTATGAAATGATCATTTGACTGAGCTCAAATACAGTGGGAAGTAAGATAAATTATCGCTGACTTTGCTTGATGTATTTCCTCTTTCGTCAGAACTAAGCCTGATTGTTTTAGTCAATTGTTATGTTAGTATTCTAAGGCTGATTGTTCTAGTCAATTGTTATGTTAATATTCTAAGGCTGATTGTTCTAGTCAATTGTTATGTTTGTATTCTAAGGCTGATTGTTCTAGTCAATTCTTATGTTAGTATTCTAAGCCTGATTGGTCTAGTCAATTCTTATGTTAGTATTCTAAGGCTGATTGTCTAGTCAATTCTTATGTTAGTATTCTAAGGCTGATTGTTCTAATCAACTGTTATGTTAGTAATCTAAGGCTGATTGGTCTAGTCAATTCTTATGTTAGTATTCTAAGGCTGATTGTTCTAGTCAATTGTTATGTTATATTCTAAGCCCGGTTGTTCTATTCAGTTGTTATTTTAGTATTCTTCCTGTTTTTTATTTCACATGACGAGAAAGAATAATAGAGCATACAACCATTCAACTTAAATAAATAGCTGTTTTGCTGATGATCGATTAATTCTGTTATGTCTTATTATTATTTTTATTGCGATTTTGAAAAGCTTTATTATATATTTCCATAATCACTCACGAAGATGCTAGTTGAGTTGTAAGTTTTTTTTGCAAACCTGTTAGACATGGACTATAATAAGAAAAAAATTAACATATTTAGCTGATTATCTATACTTTTGAAATAAAAAGAAATGTTAACAAGTGTTTTGCTTAGAGTGTGAATCAACACCTTATGAAAAAGTAGTGGTTAGGAATGGTTAATTTTTTTCAGATTATTTGTTTTATTATCAAACTAATAATTGTTCTGTAAAAACAACAACAACAACAGAAACTAGTTGTAGTATGATTTCAGTTTTTGAGTACGAACTCTGAAAGTACCAATACTGTATAAGAAGGTTGCATTGCCACAGTTACCATGCTGTTAAGGGTAGAGGGTAATGACCTTGTTTGTAATGTGTTATATTTACACACATCTCACAAGACCGGGAAGTAACAAGACCCTTAATACAACCACAGCATAACTGTACAAACAATTTGTAATGTACGATAAATATATTATAATTATTGCAGTTCAAGGAACCTTTCATCTTTAAAGAGGAAAGATCTATTTTCCGAAAACATTCAGGTTATCGGATTTCTTTTGAGTTTAATTTATCAACTTTTATTTTGACACGTTTTACAAATGTCATAATTGTTATTCTTGCAAATATTTACGTTATCTTTATTTTGTGTAATTACTGTACAACAAGTACCTTTAAGGACACTTTTAAGTGAGATAGAAGTAAGGGTGAATGAATAACAACCTGCTGTTTCTGCTTCACTCTAATTCCTTGGTTTTTTATGCACTGACCGAAAGACATCACCGTAAATGTGCCAGATTTTAAAGTATTCGTACTGTAATGGGAAAGTTTACAACTCTGTTTTTTCTAACAGAATGTTGTTGAATTTACTTACAAAAAAATATAACAAAACAGAACGAGATTTTTGGCGTGAAGAACGACTTCAGAAACCAAAGTCGAAGTGTATCAGTTGATGTCCAAAGTTAAAACAAAACTACTGATAAACAAAATAGCGTTTATTAGAATTGCTGACCCACGCTTCATGATTAACAATAGTTGAAATTAACTTTTAACTGTTTGACACCCGAAAATATTTTGTTGTTGCTGATGTAGTGGTTTTGGGAAATGCAATAAGGCTTAAGTGACATTTTGTAGAGTGTATTAGACCAAAAGATTTGGTACATATAGTTGGAATTAAGTTGTTTTTTATGTTGAAAAATGGAAATCTTAAGGCACAAAAATATAGTGAGTACCCAACATAGTGATCTTTGAAGCTCAATAACAGATAATCAATAGCAACTTAGCATAATATTTCAGGATTCGCCAACACTGCGTTTTCGTATCACTTTTTTTTTTACTGAAGGTGTTAAACTATTTTTATCATTCTGATAGTTTACAGTAAAATCGAAAGTCATTGATCTTCTTTGATTTTAACATTAGTTTGTTTTATTTTTTCTCACCGAAACTTAATGGATTAGGCTTCTCCTGGCAATATACCTGCTAAATTCGACCAATTCTGTTGGTATCATTATAATTTTTAGTTGTTAGCCTCCTCCTCCCCCTCAACGTACACACACATATGATGTTATCTTGACATTTAATGCTCTTTCATGTCGTTTTCTTCACCTCTTCCCAAATGAAGTAAAGGTAATTGAAATGAAAACGAAACGCAAACTTGGATCATTATCCGTTGCTTTCCAAAAATAACTAACGATGAGATGCCAAATAGAAATTATGAAAGAAAAATGATCCTTGTTTGTTTATTGTTTATGTAAAAAAAAAAAAAGTGTGCATCAACTTGGCTATAACTTATTTCATGACATTAGATAAAACATTGGGTATTTCTGAAGACATTTATGTTCATTTAATGGTTTATTTATTAAGTGCAAAGCTGTGCCGCGGTTTTTAGGGTTATAAGTCTGCAGACTTACCGCTGAGCCACTAGGAGGTCATTTAATTGTAATTTTATGAGATTCTGATTATATATGCATATTTTTTCTGAACTTTATATTCCTCCACGTTACATCTACGAATATTATTATTTTGCTTTTTAGATTAATATTATGTATTTTTTATAATTTCTTAACTACATTCATAAAATGGATGTCATATTTATCGTTGTACCTTAAAATTTTGTAAATTGTTATGCTATTACTTTGATTGCTACAGGTTACCTTACTATAATAAAGAACTAAACTAAAAGACGACCATACTGTTTAGGTCATTAAGAAGTAATGTGTGAGTTACGCTGATGTGGTCACCGGGAATAAGCTGTTTGTCTAAGTGTTAAAATGTAGTTGTGTTCATGTACGTACCTTCATTGGATCATGTAAGTTAACCACGAATTAATTTAAATTGCATCTTTGTGTTATGCTATTATTGCTAAGTATTTCTAGGTTTAAATTAAATTTGTTTTTTTACTTTCATTCTACATTACTTTGAATTAATTGGATGGACTCGTATCCCCTTTTCATTTCAGCACTAATTTCGTCTTCTATATTTTTTAGGTATCATACGAACTCGTGCCCCCCTAGACTATGAAAGCACTTCAAACTACTGGCTGTCTGTATACGCCAAAGACTGGGGAACAGTGCCCCTTTATGGCCGAGTTGATGTCTATATTGAAGTATTAAACGAAAATGATAACACCCCACTAACCAATGAGCCTGCCTACTATCCCACGGTTGTGGAAAACGCCAAGCCCGGAACTTTTGTGGTCAAGTTGGACTCATTTGACCGGGATTCTCCAACAGCAGAAGATGTACGTTACCAGCTCATCAGTGGTGATCCTCAAGGATTCTTTTCCATCAACGAAAAAACAGGTAAATCCAGTTCCACCAGCAGTTTTTGGAATATGTAGTATTTATCATGTGAAACACTAGTGTAAGATTTAAATAGAAACTGTTCTATACACAGGTTTGTATCTAATGGGTTATGCGATATCACGTATAAGCAGAGGTCTGGTGAATGCATAATCACTTCCAAATATTACTTTGCTTTGCCCTTCATCTAATTTTACCTACGGTTTGGTGTTATACCACCTGCAAGCTTGAAGATGTATTAGCAGTGTCATATTGTGTATAGGTGTTTAGGGGTGTTGTCAACATTGGTGTTATAACGTATCTTGTGTTCATGTGTTTAGGGGTGTTGTCAACATTGGTGTTATAAATGATCTTGTATTCACGTGTTTAGAGGTGTTGTCAGCATTGTTATCACATTGTGTTCAAATGTTTAAGGGTGTTGTCAGCATTGTCATCACATTGTGTTCAAGTGTTTAGAGGTGTTGTCACGCTGTGTTCAAGTGTTTAGAGTGTTGTTAGCGTTGTTTTTACATTGTGTTCAAGTGTTTAAGGGTGTTGTCAGCATTGTCATCACATTGTGTTCAAGTATTTAGGGGTGTTTTCACATTGTATTCAAGTGTTTAGGGTGTTGTTAGCGTTGTTTTTACATTGTGTTCAAGTGTTTAAGGGTGTTGTCAGCATTGTCATCACATTGTGTTCAAGTATTTAGGGGTGTTGTCACATTGTATTCAAGTGTTTTTTGTGTTTTTAGCGCTGTTGTCACATTGTGTTCAAGTGTTTAGAGGTGCTGTCACACTGTGTTCAAGTGTTTAGAGGTGTTGTCACACTGTGTTCAAGTGTTTAGAGGTGTTGTCACACTGTGTTCAAGCCTCACGAGATGGCAGAGTTTTGGTTTTTCTTACCTGTTTCTAAAGCGGGACTATGTTTCAGCTTCTTTTCTTGGACTTCTGGTTGAAGTTCATTAAAGCGAAAACCCTACCATCTTCAGACTGTCTAAGTTACCCCTGAAACAGCCTTAAGTGGCGTTTTGTGATTTTGGTGTTTTGCATCTTGTTTTTATAGTACTGTGCAAAAGTGTTAGGATAAGAGAATATTATGTCAGTCTTTCCATTTTATGGGGCTAATTCTTCCATGTCATTACATAATGTAAATTTCAGCACTATGGTAATGCTTCAGTGATCCCTGTTGACAGATGACTGAGCGAGGGTGAGAATACTTATCATTCTATAGAATTTCCATATACTTGTACCAAGGGCATGTCATAAGGGTTCTGCTTGAATGAATATACTGATCAAATTTAGGGCCTGAAGTAACTGTCATGGTACTCCATGCAGTGTGTTAACTATATAGTAAGGAGCTAGTATATGGTACCGGTATAAGCTAGACAAATGACAAATCAATTTAATTGCACTTCACAAATAAACCTTGATAAAAACAATGTTTAACACTATATATATTAAGTTTTGTTGTCATGCCACGGCCCAAAAGCGTACAGAATTGTCAGTAGAGCAGAGAGTTCGCATAAAAACTTTTCGTGGTTGGACTCTTCGACAAATTGCTGCAGACTTGACATGCTCCCCAAACACTGTCAAGTAAACCCTAGATCGTGAGACCGAGACAGGTAAATTTGAAAATAGGAAAGGAAGAGGCAGAACACTTAAACTCAATGCACTGAAGTTAAGTATCTTCGTTTATGCAGCCTTCGGGACAGAAAGAAGACTGCCATTGATCTAAAGCATGGGATAAACGACCATGTACCAAATGACAGAAAAGTGTCCAGATCTTCATTATCAAGAAGACTCAATGAAAATGGAATATTTGGTCGTATAGCAGTTAAAAAACCTTTACTTTGATCTCCAAGTATTGTCAAGAGATTGAAATTTGCTCAAAAAGTACAAAAATTGGACTGTTGATGATTGGAAAGGGTGTTATGTAGTCCAAGTTTGAAATATTTGGTTCAAAGCGTAGGTTGTACGTCCGGTGGAATAAAGGTGAAAGATACTTATCTCAATGCATATCACCTACCATGAAGGATGGGGGAGGTAGTGTGATAGTTTGAAGGAGTTTTTCTGTTGAGGCAACAGGAGATATTTGCAAAATAAATGGAATAATGGACTAGCGCAAGTATCATCAGATACTGGTCCATCATGGTATACCCAGTGGTTTGCGTATTATTGGTAAAGGATTCTACTACCAAGAAGATAATGACACCAAACACTCATCAGACCTATGCAGAAATTACTTAGCTAAGAAAGAAGCTGTTGGAGTCATTCAAATGATGCAATGGCCCCCACAGAGCCCCGATCTCAACCCAACTGAGCAGATCTGGGACTTAATAGATCAAAAACTGGACAAATCAAAAGTTACTTCCAAAGAAATTTTGTGAGAGTGTATTAGAGACATTTGGAGTAAAATCCCAAAGAACGCTTTGATTGAATATGTTGCAACAATGCCTGAAAGACTGTCTGCAGTTATTAAAGCAAAAGGAGGACTCGCCAAATATTAACTGTTTGCTGAACTCAAGCACTTCTACTGTGTTTCTGTTGTACTAAATATGAAGATTTATAAAATTTTGATATGCTTTACCTTCCATTGTTCTTTGAAAGTAGCCTGCAATCTAATTTTTGACTTTGTCTTCACACTTTTGCACAGTACTGTATGTATTAATACTAATGTTATTTGATGGTACTGCATACTGTAAAAGGATTGCAGGGATATAACAATAATGTGAAATGAAAACGCAAAACAAAATGAGGAATATTCCCCGAAAGTCGTCTCCTAATACAACTCTTAACACTATGTTATTCTGAATTCCAAGTTGTCCGTAGTTATCGTCTTCCCGTTTTATTCTGAAAACGTATATGGGGAAACTGAATAAACGACAATCTTTAACAGATTCAGTGAAAAAATGTTTCGATATGATATTATTTTTTTAAATTCATGAGCGATATCAAAGTGTGCAAAGCTCTTTTTTATTTTCCGAACCAACGATTACGAGCAGAGTTGCTTGGTGAACATAAGTTTTCTGAACCATTACTTGATGAAAGTCCACGTGTGTTTCCGCTTATAGTTAACAAATCGCTAGACCGACTGTCACTAAACCTGGTATGTACCATTAGTGCCCCACCGAGGAGTGACATAGAAGGTTAGCGTTTGGTTCGGACAGGCAACTGTGTCATCCCCTATGTTTTGAACGGGTATGTCAGCTAGTTTACAAGCTTTAAATGAAGATTGTTTGTAGGTGTATAAAAGCTTGATTTCTGCGAACAACCGCTAAACGAAAATAATAATTTCAAGTGATAAGGTTAAGAATATATTTAATGTATCTTCTCCTGCTTGCCTGGCATCGCCATGTGGTTAGGGCGCTCGACTCGCAATCTGCTCGCTCTTTCAGACGTGGGGGCGTTATAATTTGACAGTCAATCCTACTATTCGTTGGTAAAAGAGTAGCCCAAGATTTGGCGGTGGGTGGTGATGACTAGCTACCTTCCCTCTCATCTTTCAATGCTAAATTCCGGACGGTTAGCGCAGATGGCTCTCGTGTTGTATTGCACGAAAACTGAACCAACCTTCTGCTTTGATTCTTAATAACTTTTATGAGTATTTGTATCACAATGGTACTCTTTTATTTATTTTTGTTGTAAAACCAATGAAGTTACGGTTTAAAATCACAGCGGCTTTAAAAAAAAATTATTATGTGCTGTGAGCTTTAACCACACGAAAATATAAAAAGATTGATTACTGTAAAGGACTTTCTAAACAGATGCAGTAAAAGCCTAAAGTCTATCGTAATCAAATATTTCAATAACGTTATTGCACGTGTTCAAAGCTCGTGGATTAGTGTAACACCTTTTGATAGTATGAATAACAGCCCAACCCATTCCGTGAATTTTTGATGATTCTATCTGTGGATATCTACAAAACCCATGAATCCGACTATACGCATATGGACACACCCTTTTGTATATCATAGTCATATGTACTCAACAACGAAAAGAAAAACAAAAAAGGCGTCACCTAAAACGTTAAAGACTTACTCGGGAAGTAATTTTGCGTGTTTTTCGTGAGCAACCGTTCTAATTTAGGATAAATATAAGGACATTAAAAAAACAACAACACTAAAATCAGTGTTTGGTAGACTATTATTAAATTAATTAGTTTTAAGGCACATATCTTAAAAGAGACAATTTAAGTCAGGTCCATCAATTTTATCGTAAAAGTTTTGAACTTCTTATTGGATCTGTGAAATTTTCGAGACACTTATGTGATAGTTATGCGATACACTGAAAGTTCAATAAGGAAATACAACGTCAAAAACAATCATGTTCAAATAAAATGACACAAAAATCGATATATCGAGCATGTATATCTATATATATAAATATATATATAATAAAACTTTGCACAAAATTTATAGAAAGGAGGAGGAGGAGATCCAGTTTCTTGTCTAAACATATTAGAACATCCAAACGTTTGTCCGGGTTCACTCTTTCCACCGTCGCTCAGTTTTTGATCTGTTAACTGTTTCCATTTTTAAAAATAAAATAAAGTTCGTGGCCCAACAATGTTTTTCTTGAGAAGTTTACATTTTACATACGTTTCATAGCAACCGTAAACAACTGTAGTTAATATTTGTAAAATACCATTGTAATTTTATGTTGTTTTTTTACGCTTTAAAACATTTTTATACATCGAAAGAGAAGAAAGAAAGAAAGTCCAGCTCTTGTGTTGTTGGTTTTTATTGTATCGACCTGTTTTAAATCATTCATAAAGAAATAGAAACATCATTTATTTGGATTAGGCCAATTATTTTTAACTAAAAACTTTAGATATATACATATATAAACGAAATCTTTCAGTTCTGGCTGAATACAAGTGGGTATCTTAGACAGTAAAAAGCAAAGATTTCACCTGCTTGGTTGATTCCTTATATCACCAGCAAGTGCTAAGGTTAGGTGACAAAGTAAATACAACGGCTGGGGAGAAGAATAATATGCTTACTATAGAAGAGCAAGAGGCTC